CCCAACAGGTGCCCTCCTCAATGCCCATCACCCACTTTTCCCTCTCCCTGACCCCCATCAACCCTCAGATTGTTCTCAGTATTTAAGAGTCTCGCATGGTTTGGCTCCCTCCCTCTCTGTTATTTTGGTTTCCCCCTTCCCCTCCCCCATGGTCTTCTGTTAAGTTTCTCAGGATTCACATAAGAGTGAAAACATACGGCATCTGTCCTTCTCTGTAGGACTTATTTCACTTAGCATAACACTCTCCAGTTCCATCCACGTTGCTACAAAAGGCCGTATTTCATTCCTTCTCATTGCCAAGTAGTATTCCATGGGGTATATAAACCACAATTCCTTTATCCATTCATCCATTGATGGACATTTAGGCTCTTTCCATAATTTGACTGTTGTTGAAAGTGCTGTTATAAACATTGGGGTACATGTGCCCCTGTGTGTCAGCACTTCTGTGTCCCTTGGATAAATTCCTAGCAGTGCTATTGCTGGGTCATAGGGTAGATCTATTTTTAATGTTTTGAGGAATCTCCACCCCGTTTTCTAGAGCGGCTGCACCAGTTTGCATTCCCACCAACAGTGCAAGAGGGTTCCCGTTCTCCACATCCTCGCCAGCGTCTATAGTCTCCTGATTTGTTCATTTTGGCCACTCTGACTGGCGTGAGGTGATATCTGAGTGTGGTTTTGACTTGTATTTCCCTGATGAGGAGCAACGTTGAGTCTCTTTTCATGTGCCTCTTGGCCATCTGGATGTCTTCTTTGGGCCCCCCTCCTCATCCTAATCAAAGAATTCTCCCTTCAGCCAAACCTACAGTCTTCCCCACCTTACCCCACTTGCTACTCTGTCATTCCTTTCCCTTCAAGAAAGAAACTCTTGCTTCCGTTGCTAATGGGGGTTCTTTAAACTTGTCTTTCACCTTAGAAGGCTGTGATTTTTTTTCTCAGATGGTGAATGAGGTCATGGGAGTATATGAGTTTACCTAGTAAAAATAGGCAGCTATTAGATTTGGCTCATTATTATATTAAAATAATGCCCATCTAGTTGAATGCCTGAAATGCCCATCGAAGCATGTTGCAAACAGTATCACTCACAAAGCCTGTCTAGAGTAGGAGTTTTGATTCCTGTTCATATGGATGTGAAACATCTACGAAGTTAAGTGTCTTGCCTACGGTTCCACAACTCCTGGTGACGTCGCCAGGCTGTGAATTCAGGCCTATCAGATAGTGGGTTCTTAATCTTTTTATTTCTTTCACAGATTACAAGAATCGCATGAAAGGAGTTATGGATTCTCTCTGCCAGAGGCACAGATGCACCGCATTTTATGTTCCACTTGCAGGACTTTACAAACTTGAAGGCCGTCCTCCACAGCCCAGGGATAGAAGAAAGCCCACGATGAAACTTGGGAGAAAGAGTGCATTTTGGTGAAGACAGATCGGTAAAGAGTGAAGTTAGCAGCTCAGGGAAGGCAGAGGATGAGGTGGAAATGGTTTCGTTAGAAGTTTAGACACAGTTGACACCCTGTCGGTAAAGAGTGAAGTTAGCAGCTCAGGGAAGGCAGAGGATGAGGTGGAAATGGTTTCGTTAGAAGTTTAGACAGTTGACACCCCGTCGTCATTAACCCCATTGTCATTAACAACCCGTCATCAACCCACTCAGGTAAGGTTTGCATTTCCTCCTCCCTCTTTCTCCAGGATAATTGGAACAACAGGTATTGGTTGAGTGGAAAAGGTAGAACTTGAGCAGGGCACTCAAGCAGGGAGCAAGGAATTAAGGCCTGTGAGTGAGGGTCTGGCTCAGTCCATGATGATGGGCTTGACTGGGTATTCAAGGGATAGAACCGGAACCGTATTTGTAATCACCCTCCCGGTAAAGTCTCCTGATCCCCCTTACAAGTAACTTGTCTGTGATGAGACAAGTTAAGTGATTTGTTCAAAGTCACAAAGCCAAGTCCACGTTTAATTTAGTGTGGCCGGTAACGGAAGAGGGGCTAACCAAAGCGGATCCAGATTAAAGAGTTAGGAGGGTGGCACAGCACTTTAAGGACAGGTCAGGGAACAGAGGGGTCAGATGGTGGGGTCAGAGTCGAATAGCAGGTTTCGGTTTTAACAACAGAGCTGTTCAGAGGTGCTTGTGATTCCTGCGTCCTGGGAGAGAGAGACTACGGCAGGGGACAGAAGTGGCAGGGGAGGGAGCCCTGGAGTTCAGCCTAAGGAACCGTGAGGCGAGGCTCTTACTGCATAGGTTGCCAGTTTCAAAGTCGTCAGGGTTGAGAGGAAGACCGAGCCAGCTGAATAGGATGGAGAGCTTGGAGGTCTAAAGGCAGTGAGCACAAGTGAGTCGGTGGCATTGTAGGTGGTGAACAGCTTCATAGAGAAGCCATTTTGAATGAGGGTGGAAATCCTAGGGCCAGGAGAGAGCAACGGTCTAGCAAACAGTGGACTGCGTGTTGGCCCCAAGTTCTGCGGTATATATGAGGGAACAGCCCTTAACAGAGGACTTCAAGAAAAGCAGAGTCCTCAGAAACCAAACGCAGAGTTTTATCAGCCTCGATGTTACACTAATTGCAGAGACCCTGGAAAAGCGGGCCTCTGGCGAACTCTTAAGGGGGCTGGCAAAGTTACCAGGATGCCACGTAGTGCCAGTCCTGACGACGTGGTCACTTCCCTGAGGCGGTCTCAGGATTTAGAACTGCTGGACCGAGACTGATCACGGAGTGGACCATTGCCCGCCCTTAACTTTTCACATGCAGTGTGTACTGGGAGATTTATGGCAGAGCTTTCTGAGTGACAGGAGGTAATCCTCCCCCTTGACCGTGTACTTCCAGGTTACAGTGAGCTGGACCAAACTTCTACAATTCTTGGTATCCTTTGTAGGTCTTCAGAAACACAGTAATGCAAACCCGTGTTCTGTCTGTGCTTTTGGAACCTAGTGGTTATCTAAGCTTTTCATGTTTTCCAAATAGGGATTTAACTTCATTCCCCCATGGCCATTGTGGAGGTGGTGGGTCTCCTACAACTTGTAGTTTGTACTGCATGAGGAAGGTGAGAGATTACCTGATCCCCCTCTCCCCCCGACCCCCATCATGGAGGAAGCTAATATTTCAAGCATCAGCCATTTAATCCTCTTTAAAAGATAAGTTGGTGTCACCTGGGTCGCTCAGTTGTGGCTCAGTCGGTTAAGTGTCCGACTTCGGCTCAGGTCATGATCTCCTGGTTCGTGAGTTCGAGCCCCACGTTGGGCTCGGTGCTGGCAGCTCAGCCTGGAGCCTGCTTCGGATTCTGTGTCTCCCTATCTCTGTCCCTCCCCCACTCACGCTCTGTCTCTCTCTCTCAAACATTAAAAAAAAATTTTAAGAGCTAGGTTAAAAACAGCACCAAGGATTAATTGAAAATTATACAGTTGGTTTGCTAATGATCAGTAACCTGATCCGTTAATGCTTGGTCAGGTTATTAAAGACTAAATGCATTCAATCATAAAGTGTGTACAATATGGTGGGGGGGGAGGGTAATGCAGGAAAAACAAACTCACATGCCACCAGGGCTGGCAAGCAGTAGAAGGCAACAGGGAAGGCCAAGTGAACCAGGCCATGATGGAGAGTATGTGCTAACCATTTAGCTTGACTGGCAATATGAGACTGGAGTTAGCCTAATGTGTCCATTCTTCCAGAGAAGCTAGATAGGTGATTTCTGAATTATGTTTTCAATTTTTAGATGGTGACCATAAATCATTATTTTTTCTTGAAAACTTTGGGGGGGTGGGGGGGACAGCAGTAGCATCGCAGTTTGTAGGTGACCAGTATGCAAGTTTGTATCATCAGGAGGCATCTTTTGCCATCCTGATTGGCTTTGGTGTTTTTGAACTTTTTGATCCCCACCTGTGGGAAACATGAACTTGGACCTAAAATTTCCTCGGCAAGCCTTTTATCAGATTGAAAGTACTCTGTCAATAAAGCAGACACTAGCAATCCACAGTCCTATTTGGTAACAGACGGAAGTGTGTTAAAAACCTAAGTTTTGGGGCGCCTGGGTGGCTCAGTCTCTGTTAAGCGTCTGACTTCAGCTCAGGTCATGATCTCACGGTTCAAGAGTTCGAGCCCCACTTCGGGCTCTGTGCTGACAGCTCAGAGCCTGGAGCCTGCTTTGGGTTCTGTGTCTCCTTCTTTCTGCCCCTCCCCCGCTCACACTGTCTTTCTCAAAAGTGAATAAACGTTAAAAAAACATCAGTTTGGTGAGATCAAATACAAAAATCTTGACAATTGTTTATCCTACAAAAGTTGGCTGAGGTACCTCAATTTATTCATCTTACATGATAACTTTCTACTAAACACTCAGATTACTGTACTGAGAAATGCATTTTAGTAAATTGCTGTTGTGTTTATTGCTGTAGTGGTGTTTTCACGTAGATGAGCCACATAAGCCTGATTTCTCCTGCACTTTACAAATGAGGGGGAATAGGCTGAGAGAGATGAAGGAGGTTATTTCTCCCAACATCAGGTGGCCAGTGTGAGGGCAGCTGGGACCAGAATTGGTGTTTTCTAGCTTTAGTGTCAGTCCTGTTTCTCCCACAGCATATGGCCTCTTAGAAAGAGACGGGTTGGATGCCAACTTTATTTTCACCTCCAGATTACTTTGAGGTATCATAGTAGTCCACTGGGATTTGTAATTACATAGAATAACTCGTGAACATTATGTAACAAAGGGTCCAATTTTCTATTAAAAACTACACGTACAGGGGATTAGAAATGGAGAGCATCAAAATGGTGACCGGAGCTGCCTCTCCAGGGTGTGGAATGACAAGGCAATCCGCTTTAGTATCTCCTTTTTTTTTTTTTTTTTTGAGAGAGACGAAGTGAGTGGGGAGGGACAGAATAGGGAGCACAATCCGAGCTATGGCTCCAGGCTGACTGCAGCACCGAGCCCAACGGGTAGTCGAACTCACAACTCAGGAGATCATGACCTGAGAGTCACCCAGGAAGGTGCCCCCCCCCCACCTTGGTATCTTGAATTTTTTTTGCAATGAGCATATATTACCTTTTAGAAAAAGGAAAAAATGGACTCTTCACCTCAAAACTGTATTGTTTCCTTCATCTGTAAGGTAAGTTATTCTACTAGACAGTTATCAGCTACTAGAGTTGTGACTCTCCCTATCCTGAACTAGATGGCATGTTTCTTTTAGCTTAGCGTCTAAGTCATCCTCACCTCATTTTATGCAGTTGGGCTAAAATAGTGGAAAAAAAAATAAAATCAAGTACATTGAAAGCAAGTGGGGAAAAAGAAGTGTTTTGGGAACTCTCTCTCTAGACCAGGGGTAAGTCTAAGCCTTGAATGAAAAGCCAGAACCACTGTGTGATCACGTCAGGCATGGCGATCTTAGAGGTGGGAGCGGAGGAAAAGGGCTATTTTAAGAAACTGACATTTCAGTCCTTTTTTTTTTCCTTTAGCATGCACTGCAATGAGTCAGTTTGCTATGAACAGAATTCTACTCTTTAAATGGACACAAGGAACACCGTAAGTTCTCAGTGGACTACAAGATGTTGGCTTTCACAAGTTGCCCGGATTTTCAGGATCCTGGGTTAAGAGTACAGTACTTCTATTCATGTTTTCTTCAAGAAATTATAGTGATCATTAAGGTCTTGTAAGTAAGCGTTTTTGGGAATCCGTTAAGTGGATATTCTCAAACGCGTGAGGCGTGTCCAGCAATTTACTAGCCTGCCACCCACCATACAGCGCCTGCAGGAAGTAGACTTCTGTCGGAGCACAGCTCTGGTCACGTCACCGGCCCCCTTTATTATCTGTAGTTTGCTTACACGTTTATCATGAATGAATGTTGAATTGTGTCAGTTACCATCGATTGAGAGGTTTTCTCCTCTGTCACTGAATCGTTCTGATCACAAAACACCACCGTGCAAACTAAAACATACTTCTCTCCCCGTTTATAGTAAAATGCTACTGCAACTCAGATGGCTGTTGTCAAACTCAGAATTTAAAAAAGCTTCAGATCAACCTGGACTCGCTCTCTCCCCACATTCTCATCTTTCAGCAAATTCGGCTCCTCCTATGGACCGTGACACTTGAAAGGTTAAGTCAAATCGGGTCATTCGCTGCTTAAAACCTCCAGTGACTTTCCATCTTTCTCCTCCTAGATATTTGCAGGTTCTTCCTCTTTCTTTAAATGTCACCTTAGAGGCCTTCTGTGACACCCCCTAGGAGAGCTCTTCACGCCCTAATTCACTGTCTCGTTTATCTGGTTTTAGATTTCGTTTTCACTGGGTTTTAGATTTTGTTTTTCCTAGCACTTTTCCCCATCTGACTCACAGGGTTTATATTCTAATTAAGAAAAAAAAAATAGAACATCTTTGTTTTCCTTACTGTGGTGGTTTATTGGGGGAAAAACAGATCCCATTGCCAATAGCCACATAGGTTGTTGGGTTTTTGTGAGCAGTGTTCGATGAGAGTGGTATATTCTGGACTCGAGGGTTAGGAAGTTACTCCTTTGGAGGAGACTACCATGTCTTCTGTGGTTATTCATTTGTGAGGGAAAGCTTGAGATGCATTTCATTTATCTACTGTCTGGTGTACTACATGGGACACGCGGTGTTTAGTTATGGACTACTATATGGCACGTATTCTTATTTATTTTGATAGAGAGACTCCCAAGCAGCCCGTGCAGAGCCCAATGCTGGGGCTCGACTTCACAAAACCGCAAGATCATGACCTGAGCCGAAACCAAGAGTCGGTTGGTTAACCAACCGAGCCACCGAGGCATCCCAAGTATGTACTCTTCTTCTTTCTAAAAACCTCAGATTCGAACTCTGGGTCTATCGTCTCTGATTATCAAAGTGGCATTATTTTAATATCACCAGCCTCCGTTCTTTAAAAGTAGGTATTAATAAGAAAAAAGTAAATCGAAAGAAACAACAATGCAGTGTTTATTTTATACAGTTGAACTGGGCACATAGTAAAGTAAGCTATAAAAATTCCAAATAGTTATCTCTAAAGGAAATCCTTGGTTTACATGGTTTTACATATTAATTACTCTGGAAAGTTTCTGAACTCTGTTTAGTAGCAGATCTCCTTTCTTGATAGTTTCTTGGTACTGCCAGTTCTTGCTATCAGGTCTATAAATAAATTCAAGAAAAAGATGGCATTATTTACCAGTCACATTACTGCATAACCGTAGTCGGCCTGCTTTTAAAAGGATGCCCCTTATTCTGATACACAGTGATACACAAACTTAACAGTACCTGTTGGTTTCCACTATTTCATTTACTTTATCTATTTTGCAGTGTAGTCTCCCTGCAGCAATAAATCTGGAGAGTTCCCTATAATCAAGAGGGGGGGGGGAAAAAGGCATTAGTGTTAGCCTCATACAGAATTGTTAAAAAACATAAACTGCCCTAAATACATGTTTCCACTCTCTCTCAAGGGGACATTTAGTTTGCTTCCAGGCTGAGCTATTGAATACGCAGTAGCCGAGAAGATCTTGGCATACTGCAGGCTCCTCTGCGAAGATGAATACGAAATTTCCTATTTAGTGAATGAAATTATTCGTAAGCACATCTTTAAAGTTCCAAAGAAAAGCCTGGAGGGAGAGAAACAAATGGGGCAGGGGCATGTGATACAACAAGAGCAGATCATGCTCTGGATTTTCAAAATCGCTTCTGAGCATGGAGGTGAAAAAAAAAGCTGGCAAATTATTTTTAAGACCTAAGAAGATGCCAGGCTAAATTAGGATCAGGAATGAACAGATGATAGTAGTCTGTTGTGAAAAAGGTCTTTTGGAATACCTATACAGTCATGACCCCAAACCTCAAACTGAAGCTATCTAGAACATAGTCAGACAGGACTAGCATTAGCAATGAAGCACGGTCAGAGATCGTCTACCAACACAGAGGGAAAAGTAAATGCTTACAGATGTACAAAAGCTGAAGACTTTGCAATGCTACCCAAGAGAATAAATGGAAAGATGACTTCTTTAAAATAATCTACTTGTAATAGAATAGCTCAATTTAAATACAAATTATATGACAGATTACTTTCCCAGATGCTAAAACATCCTGATCCTAGCATATGAACAACAAAAAAGAGACTGAATCTTAACAAATCTCTGACGAAAGTGCTGAGAATGGTATTAAGGCAACTAACTGTGACAAATCCCAGAAACTATATTTAAAGACCCCCTGATAAACCTGGTTATGTAAAGAGAATTTCTACATAGGATACCAAGTCACAAACTAAATGACAACATGGACAGAAGATAAATTACAAAAAAAAAAAAAAAA